CCCACCAAAGGTGGCTCAGCGGCTAAGACGCTGTGCTTGTCGATCTGAGAGGTCGGCAGTTTGGCGGTTTGAATCCCCTGCGCTGCGTAATGGAGGGAGCTCCTGTGTCCCAGCTTCTGCCAACCTAGCAGTTGGAAAGCACATTAAAAATGCAAGTAGAAAAATAGGGACCACCTTTGGTGGGAAGGGAACAGCGTTCCGTGCGCCTTCGGGAGTTGAGTCATGCCGGTCACATGACCACGGAGACGTCTTCGGACAGCGCTGGCTCTTGGGCTTTGAAACGGAGATGAACAGCGCCCCCTAGAGTCGGGATCAACTAGCACCTAGGTGTGAGGGGAACCTTTGCTTTTTTACAAGAGGCATATTTCAAGAGGGAAGAAGGACTAATAGCCTAGGGTTCTCCTGAGAGTCGAGGCCCGCTTTCTGTCTTTATGTACGGGACAAAACAACAACACCAACACACACACACACACACACACTTTGGGGAGAAGAAGAAGAAGAAAAAAACCCCTTTCAGGGTGAAGTTAAATGGTGAGATGGTGCCTGGGGAATATTAATGAGAGATGCTTTATGGCCAGGAACAATGCTGGATGAGACATCATACATTGGCAAGATCCTCGCGAAACCTCAAGGACGTTGGAGGTTTGTGGCAAAAGTGATTGCAATTCTCCAGCCCAGGGACAGAGATTTATATATTTATTTTGTGTGTGTGTGTGTGTGTAAAAAAGGCAAAAAGGGAAGAAGGATTTCGAGGAAACCAATCGACGAGGCGAGTCGGAGCGCAGAGGAAACGATTCCATTTTGATTCAAAGTCCGTTTGGAGTCGAAGGGGACAAGTTAAGTTTCTCGGCGGGGCGTTCCTTCCCAAATCCACCAGTGGGTGAAGAAGGATGAGCGCCCCCCCCTCCCCCAAGGACAAAGGGAGTATAATCGAAAGGCTGTGGGGGTTTGTTTTGAGGGGGGAGTTTCCTTTTCTCAAAGGGTATGAAGTGGAAATGTTTGCATGGTTTCAGTCAGCAAAGGTGACTGATGAAGCAACTTCCTGGAGCGTGTAACACCAGACATTTTGGCCACGTCGCGCGAGGGAATTCGCTGAAGAAAGCTGACAATTTTGTGAAGCGGTGAAAGGAAAACGGGCCGCCAACAAAGACGGCGGCATGGACACCATTAAAGTTGACCCTGGCCGGAGCCGAGAAAAACTCAAAAGAATTGGAAGATGTGGAGAGACCTGGACAAGATAATCGCCGAGACTGAATGGATAACTTCATCTTCATCATTTCTGTTCTGACCTAGGTTTCTCCAGCAGCACGAAGACATGTCCTCGTCCCGATAAACCCCTTTTATTTAATTGACGGTGTCAATTAAAGTCTTTCTTCTCCCACAGCCCTTCAAAAGAGTTCACAATTACCGACCTTTATCAGGCTTGGAGAGTGGCCAGCCAGGCCGATATCTTTCAGACGCCGCAAGAATGCAGGAATGAACTAATGCTCTCCTGCAAACTCCACTCCCCTTTCGCTCCTCTTTTATTTTCTCTGGGAGGGGCCATTCACCGTCCACCTGTGGCCTTACTCCCAAGTCGACCCCTGTTCCTTAGCTGCTCCCTTCCCCTGGAAACTCTGCGCATGCACACACTGGGAACAGGCTCCAGCTGTTCNGAAAGCGGACCTTGGAAAGTACATTGCAAAAAAAAACCTTCCACAGGTGGAAAGAGAGAAGGATTTCCAGAAGAGGAGAGAGAGAGAGAGAGAGAGAGAAAGCCTCACTTACCGTTGGTGGCACCTTCAGCCGAGAGAGGAGAGTTGTTTATCTGCAGCCGCAGAAGGCAGCCGGCGCTGATGAGCTGATTTGGGGAAAAATGACGGCATCAATCAGCCACAGGGTCCAATTCGGGAGAGGAGGAGTTGGGGTGGGGTGAGGGGGGTGGGAAGCTGGGGAAATTTCAAGAGGGGAAGTATTGTTCTCCCTTGGAGGGAGGTTAGCGGTGCGTTTTCCTCTGCCTCTCCTCGCTCCAAAGAGGGTGAAAATGTGGGGGGGGCCCTCGCCATGTGGAAGATAACAGAATGGCAAGAGCTGGAAAGGGGCCTTGGAGGTCCTCTAGTCCGACCCCTCTTGCTCCATCAGGAGACCCTGTGCAATGCCAGGCCAATGGATAGCCAATCTTTTCTGGAAAACCTCCAGTGATGGAGCACCCACCATTCCTGGAGGCAAGCCATCCCACCGATTAATTGCAGTATAACACAGAAGGGGCCTTGGAGGTCTTCTAGTCCAACTCCCTTGCTCAAGCAGGAGGCCCAAACCATTTCAACCCATCAGATTAGAGCTGGAAGGGACCTTGGAGGTCTTCTAGTCGGACCCCTCTTGCTTAAACAGGCGACCTTATATTATTTCTTTCTTTCTTTCATTCATTCATTCAGAATAGAGCTTGGAAGGGGACCTTGGAGGTCTTCTAGTCCAACCCCTCTTGCTCAAGCAGAAGACCCTATACTAGGAGGATTTACAGTCACAGACCTTATCTGGCTTGGAGAGCTGCCAGGTCGACATCTGCAGAACTTGGCAAGGAGTCTCAGAGAATCACGAACCAATTAAGTGAACTAATGGTCTCCTGCAAACTCCACTCCCCTTTCGCTCCTCTTTTATCTCCTCTGGGAGGGGCCATTCATTGTCCATCTGTGGCCTTACTTCCAAGTCGACCCCTGTTCTTTAGCTCTTCCCTTCATCTGGCAACTCTACACATCCGCACACTGGGGAACAGGCTCCAGCTGTCCTTCTGCCTCACTGATGTCTGACTCCGAAGGCAGCTGATAACTGTCATATGGCTCTGGCCTCCTCTCTGCCTCCGACACAGAGCCCTCATCAGAGCCTTCCCCAGACCCCAGGACTGGCCCAGG